ACACGCCGAAAATTCTTCATGTGCCTTCGGTACACGTACAGGCAGACCAGATGAACCAGGTGGGACAGAATATGGTTGGCTTGAATACGGTAGACTGGCAAGGAAGGGGGGGGGGGCCATTTGGAGGCAGAACACCAATATTCTTGTAGTCTCCCAGTTGTTTGAAGGCTGTGTCGATTCATTCAGAATGAGTTGTTCTGCGATTCATTAATCGACCAGTTATCGTCAGTCATAGATTACGCCAGTCACTGCAGTTTTTCCATTCCTCTCTTGCTCATGCCATCCTTTGCCATGGCGGTGAGTTTAAGTTAGGCATCAAATCCTCTAATCTTTACGGAAAACAATCTGTCGGCATTATGCGATTCAGCCATTGCCACTCGACGATGGCCGTTGTCCATCGCTGGTCAATAATCCGAGCTCGCTATTTGATCCTTTGAATTTTTTTCTTTCTGCTTTCCACGATGATACCAACTGTATTGCGGACATCGCCTTGGGACTAAATTTTCACGGTTGTCAATCCATGGCTCTTTTGGCGACAGACAGATGACGATCGTCCATGATCATCAGCTACCATGAGTCATAGTCATACAGCGTCACCGGCAACACGACTATATTGTGAAAGTAAGTCCGTGTTGATTGGTAGATCTTTCCAAGTATGACATCGGTCAAGGTGTTGAACGCCCTCCAGCTGGCATTTTCGGTGCGTCAAATTTAGCCCTTCTTATTTTGGGCCAAATCCCTGGCCCAAAGAGTGTATTTTTTCACCTCTTCTATATCCTCTACCTTAACCGTGATTTCAGACTTCTGCTGCTCATATACTTTTATTTTATCTCTGATCGAGTCAAAGTTTTCTTTATCGAGTTTTTGTAGAACTTCGTCGAGTTCAGCAGCATTTTCCACAATCAACACGTCATCACCAAATCTGAAATAATGGACCCGCTCTCCGATGATTTTTATTCATTTTTTCCATTATATCCGCCTAAATATCATTCTTAGACAGGACGGAAAAAGCTGTCGACAAGCTGTGCCTTTTTCTGGCTCTGTCTGGACTGGAATCCTGAGGGCTGGGTTGAGCCACGAGACGTTTAGTCTGTATATCTCACTAACTCCCTTCTCCAGATTGACATACAATGTGTTGACGCCTTGTTATGCAAGTGCCATCCATTCCACACTTAGCTCGACTGAGACGAACTCTTTTTCATGTTCGAAAAAGGCAATGCACAGAGGCCTGTGTACTTTCTCTCTCTCATGCGTCCTAGTTCTTGGATTAGAGTAAAAATGTGCTCGAGCACTTTCGAAATCCGGCATGCCCTCTCAGCTGCTGCTCACCCGGTCTCTTTGAGAGTCGATTTGCAATTTTCTTCATAACGAGTTTGTACATATGCGAGGGAAGGCATATTCAGGTAGTAATTTTTCAGGTATTCCCAGTCGGTCTTTTTGCCTTGCAATATCGATATTGAATCCTTCCGGCATGGTGAAGTCCTCACAAATTCTTGCCAAATGCTGCTCCTCACTGAGTTCTCGTCTGCTTTGATCAAATAAGCATATACAAACGATCAGTTCCAAATCATTTTGTCTCCCTACGGCTTTCCTGTTGAGGTTAAGGATGTTTGAAGTAAATGCCACTTTTTCGGTGTGTTTGTTAAGCACTTCGTTTGAAAAGAAATACGTACACGTATTCATGAAGTTTTTGCATGTTTCAGACGTCGATGCGGATCTTAGCAAAGCTCGTGCAACGGAGATTAACATCCATCGTCCGGTATACAGCGAGGTATTGCTGGAATCATCATTTGCGCATAACGTTCGCACTATTACTGTTGTATTTGATCACATGGGAAAACAGAAAAATATCTTAAACATTTAATTTTTCGAAATCATACTGAAATTTTGCCTTTGTCTTTTGACGCCTTAATCCTGAGGTAAGCGTTGGAACCACTGGCACCACTGATCATGAAAGTTCTTTGAACAAAAGTAAAACTTGCATGTTCTCGTGACAAACATTTTGCCGATTCACGGCTGAGGACATCAAGCAACACCGCTGCTAATACCATATTACTAACGCCTTCCGCTACACACAACGTAGCATCGTCATGGTACTACTGAAGTACCCCATCAGCTGTATCGTGTCGATGCTACATCGTGCGTGGCAAATCGCATTTATGACAGTGAGTTAAGACCTGTGATGCAAGATGCCCTCGACTGTGAATCGACAAACCATCTGTAATTTCAGCAGCGACTCAGGGTCAGAAATATTATGTATATTTCCATCTTGACCGCCAGAACGAAATTTTCTTTAGGCCAGTGGAAAGAGCCCGCTGCTCCTCATTAATTGGAAAATCTGATACCAGGTGACGACGAAGACGTACCACAGCAAAGGAGAACACTTTATGCTAACATGATATATAACGTAATAGTAACACAATTCACACAAAACGCATACACTTCCTTTATCTATGTGGCAAATCGTCTGCACTTTGTAGATGTATGAACATGTAGCGTATTTATGATTGGTACGTAAACATTCATTGCTCAGAACTAATGAAGGTCCACGTACTCACATTGGAGTGGAGTAAACGCTGGGTGAAAGATTTACAGGCGTAATTCGATTTGTTACAAGGCAGGTTGATATCGATGCAAGCTGTTGCATGGTTTGAGGTGTAATGAAAACAAAATATTCCTGAGGTGAAGAAACAGACATCTGAAAATATTCCTCTTGGGAGACCATGTGCTGCATGAATAGCAGTGTGTACAATCAGACTTTCAAATAGTGCAATTAAAGATGCAAACATCCTTTAGTCTCATTTTTAAGAAAACGCCCACATACCGTCTTTTCTTTCGCAAATGCTATTCCTCGTGTTCACTGATTGTCTGTCACGCGTGACGAAATCACATTTACATGAAGTTTTCATGGATGTTTAATACTTTGCTTTATGGACATCCGATTTTGCATGTCACTGGACTAGCTAATCTTGAGTTATTCTTGAAGTACATTTCCGTATTTTCATCTCTTTCTGTAGGCCTCGCTTGACGTCGTCGCCGGATTTGAAAAGGTCAGAAGTTGTGGATATTTTGCAGCCCTCAAAACCAAGATCAACTACAAATCGGTTTGGGATTTTCGTCGATGGGCGAACTGGATTTCCGGATTTTTGCCCGTCCTCTACTGGCTTCCCAACTACAAATTCAAACACGACTTCATCTACGACGTTATCTGTGGCATTATAGTCGGCATTGTACACGTGCCACAAGGTACTTAGATATAGCTGCTAACTAGTACGAAGTCGTAATGCAAATATGCAAATATGCAGTGTTTGCTCATTCATATAATGCTCTTTTATAAAAATCGTGCAACGAAAAACGGCCCTTTTCATATAATTAAGCCGCTACTGACGGTAAGTATTAATAAACGTATTGCTGTATAAAACACCAGAGCGGCACAGTTCTTTCAGCAGCTTCTGTTTCGGTTGCTGCTGTGTTATTAGCTCATTCTTCCTCAGACTGGTTGTG